GATGCAGGTCTCCCGAGATGCCATACACTCTAGCCTTGTGCAACACACCAGTGTGAGACACCCGGTCAAATGCTCCAGCAATGTCGATGGCCAGCACTCGAGAAGCTCCTTTATCTCCGGCGGTGTGCACCCACTGGTGGTGGAGAGCAGTCAGCAGGTCTGCTGCACTGTGGCCGCGACGGAATCCAAATTGCCGTTCTGACAGGACGTGATTCGTCTCCATGAAGTTGCTCATTGCCCTGTTGACTATGGTCTCCATGACCTTGGAGAGGATGCTCAGTAACGACACTGGTCGATAGTTTGATGGCGACGATTTAGACTTGCGCTTGTGGACTGGAACTACGTTTGCAACCTTCCACTGTTGTGGCTGACTACCGGAGCGAAGACAGCATGTAAATAGTTTTGAAAGCGGCCGTGCCAATTCTGCAGCGCAAGCTTTCAAGACGCGGGCAGGTATCCCATCTGGACCAGTGGCCTTGGTGGGGTTGAGCTGGCGGAGAGTTCGCTCGACTGTGGTTTCGCGAAACCGGACGGTGAAGAGGTTGCGGTCAGTACGTGGTCGGACGTAAGGAAATGGAGCGGATAGGTCGTCTGCCCCTAGACTGCATTTGTTGGCGAAGTGTTCGGCCATGCACTCTGCTTTGCTGCGGTTGGTGTCGTGCTCCGTACCATCGGTGCTGCGGAGAGTAGGTATGGATGGGCTGTTTCCGTGGCCAGAGGCCTTCTTGATGGTTCGCCACCATTCACCAGACGCCATACACCCAGAGGCTAACTTCTGCGCCAGGCTTGCTGTGAATGCCTGCTTGGCAGTTGCCAGGCAATGGTTAGCCGAGTGCTTGGCGACATTGTAACGGGCTTGCAGCTGGGCACTTGACCGGTCGGCGCAGAGTCTCCTCCATGCTCTTTGTTTCTGTGCTACAGCCTCAGTGCATTCCGGTGTCCACCAAGAGGGGTTAGATGGTTTCATGCACAACTGCTTAGACGGTATGTATCGGCGCATTCCTTCCAGAATATTCTGGGTCAAGTGCATACACATTGCATCAGGATCATCACTGACAGTGGACTGCCAATCTGTTGTTCTAAAGAAGTGGCGGAGTCTGTCCCAGTCTGCGCGTTGGTAACGCCAGACAGTTCTGGTCACTGGTGGTTCCTCTGCTGTACTTACATGAAAGTCAGCTAGGACACAGGCATGGTCAGAGTTTCCCAGAGGTGCTAAGGTATTGACGGTCGCATCTCCCGGTAGGTCAGTCATTATTAAGTCGAGTGGGTTAAGGCCCCTGGTGGGCTCATGCACGTGCTGCTCCAAGCAGTGAAAAGCACACATGTCTTCAGTGTACACACCTGCATGAGTTGTCTTGGTGCTGCCGAGCCAATCCACGTTGTGTACGTTAAAATCTCCAGCCAATACCACATATTGACAAGATTTACGGGCCAGGTCAATGCCAGCACTGATGGCTTCAAGGGTACTGATGTCATTGTCGTGGCAGGAGCCAGAGCGATATGCAGCACACACAGCCACTGACTTCTTATCCACAGTTCTGACACTCAGCCAGATTAGCTCCTCATTACCGACCTGGATGTCATCGAGTTCTCGGAGGGCCAGACTGGCTTTAACCCAAACCGCAACTCCTCCTCCATGAGCTGTTCGATCCTTCCGCAGTGGGGAGTAGTACCCAGGCAAGGACAGTTCGGAATCAGTAGCCTTCTCAGGGGTTAGCTTGCTCTCTGTGACAATGGCAATGTCAGGTTGGTGAACGTGTACAGCATGGTGAAAGTCACCAAGTTTACTCAGTAGTCCAAATGTGTTCGTCAGCAGGATCCGAAAGGATCTAATTGGAGCTTTGAGCTTGAGTGTCGGAGGACTCGGAGAGAGCGTCACTGTGTGAGCCGGACAAGGTGTCCCCCTTTGGAGCATCACTGAGAGTGTCACTGTGTGAGCCGGACAAGGTGTCCCCCTTGGGACGCTCACGGTGGCGCCAAACCCGCGCGTACAGTGGGCGAGGCCAAAAGTTTGGCGCAGTGGCGATTTCAAGGTCAGTCGCATCGATCATCAAGCGGGCAGACACTTTCCCATCTTCTGTGGTGTGTATGCTGCACTGGTGAACCTTCACCGGTTTGTTTACTGCTGCAGAGCGTTGCTCAGTGAATTCCTTGACACTTTCTTCACTGCTATGTGAGTTCAAATTGCCCACATAGATTACGGCTTTCTTCACTCTGTGAGGTTCGTTTGATACCAGTTTCCACGTGTCATCCGTGATTGGCTCTAGCTTCAGTGGCTTGGGCTTGACAGTGGGCCGCTCAATTGCCTGGGACTTGTTCTCATCCTCCGTTGACGTTTCATGGTCACTGGCAGGGTCACCCACGCTACGGGAAGTGCTACGGTGTTCGTCTGCATCAGTGGTACACGTGGCAGCCTGGCCTGCGCGAGTACGGGTACGCTTGCTGGTTCTTCCCGCTGTACTCTCCATCGTACGCTGGCTGTGCTGGTTGTGGGCAACTGCTGGAGGAGTCAGGGGAGAAGCACCTGCTGCGACAATGGCGGACTCCCTGAGGGCGACAACCTCCTCGTTCAGGCCTGCAATTTGCCTCGATAAATCATCAATCCTATTCTTTAGTCGTGTCTCGCGGTCTGCGGACTCCGTCACAAATGTTGCCAGCGTCTTTACTACGTCTAAAATCGAAGACTCGATCCCGGGGAGGGAGCACAACAATTTTACCTCCGAATCCGTCAGCCCGCGAACGGCAGCTTTTGCTGGAGGCATGGCGGAGGTAGGCCAAAGCTATCCGATGTCTACCTAGTTTCCTACTACTACTACTATACCTAATGTTTGAAACCAGGCCGGCCTGATGCCGGTTTCCTGGCGAGAAACTGTGGGAGCCTCAGAGCGCGAAAACCTGCACCCTGCTCCAAAGTTTGAAAAAAAAAGATTGATGAGAATGGTGTTCATTTGTTGTATTTCATGGAAAAACGATCTTTGCGTTGGATTCATTTAAACTATTATTTGTGTAGGGTTCCACTCCTTCATCTTGGGAAATTGTGTTTTGTTTGCCCAAAGAAGTGGCTTCATCACCATCAAAAAAAAAAAAAAAAAAAAAAAAAAAATCATCATCATCATCATCATGTGACCAAGCCGCTTTTACGGGCAACAATATTATGAATATAAAACGCAAGGTATTGTAAGAGCAATTTTCTGAAAATAATGTTAAAACACGAAATATTAAAATGCATTATCACACCGTAGCCACTTTTATGGGCAAATTCCAATACAAGGCAATAAGAAAACGAGGATGAAGTTAACCTTTTAACCCAAAGAAAAGACAAAAGATGTCAACAATAGAACTACAAATATAAAAAACAAACATCAGGTCATAAAAATATAAAATATAAATTATGAGAAAAGCCTCTTTTACGGGCAAAGCAAATGTATATCATTACAATATGTAAAGTGAACAGGGGAAATCAACACAAAACCAACCGGAAAATGATGAAACACAAAAGCAGTCAAGGAAGTAAATCAATACAAAAACAAGCAATGAACACAGAGTAATAAAAAGGGGAAAAACCAAATGGCATTATATTAAGAATCATCATCATCATCATCATCATCATCATCAGCTATGTTGCGCCAGGGGCGGCTTCCCGACACTTCGTCATAACGAGATACGTGACCTGCTGGCGAGGGAATTGACTGAAGTCTGCACTGCCGTTTCGACAGAACCAGCGCTGCAACCTCTTTCTGGTGAGAGGTTTCCTCTTCGGTCAACGAACCGCCGAGAGGATGCGCGCCTGGACATAGCCGCTCGAGGGTTTTGGACCCGTGGGGAGGAAGCTTTTTTTGATGTAAGGGTATTTTGCCCAGATGCTCCTTCCTACGGGTCCAGAACCCTTCCTGCATTGTACCAGCAGCACGAGCGGCGTAAGTGGAACGAATATGGGCCAAGAGTCACAAATGTAGAAAGAGCCGCTTTCACACCTCTCGTGTTCTCTGTGCATGGTGGTTGTGGGAGGCTGTGCAATGTGTTCCTCAAGAGACTGTGCCAGATGCAGGCCGAGTCATCGGGATCTCACTATTCCCAGGTCATTGGTTTACTCCGCTGTCGGCTGTCTTTTGCTTTGCTGCGTGCTGCTGTGGATTCATTTAAACTATTATTTGTGTAGGGTTCCACTCCTTCATCTTGGGAAATTGTGTTTTGTTTGCCCAAAGAAGTGGCTTCTTCATCATCAAAAAAAAAAAAAATCATCATCATCATCATCATCATCGAGCTAGTTTGGTGTGAAAGTGTAACTAATGTTATTATTCTTATATATACATCAAGTAGTACTAAATAATTGAGAGGCTTTGAATCGTTTTTATCAAAATCAAAATATTTGCCGGGTTGGAAGGTGGGATCAAAAAAAAAAAAAAAAAAATCATCATCATCATCATCATCATCATCATCATCATCATCAGCCCTTTCGCGTTGGCATCGGCGTTAGCCTAGCCTTCACTTGCCACGGAGTAGTAAAATACTACTCCCTGGTACTAGCCATGTAGAACGAGGTCCTTGGCTACTTCAGAGAGCAGTGTGTACAGTCATGTACATGACTGCTTCAACGGTACCTGTATGACACGTGTATTCGTGTGTGTGCGTGCGTGCATGTTGGTTTGTGCTTGCGTGCATGTGTGCATAATTATGTTCATGTGTGTCCGCGTGTGTGTGTGTGTGTGTGCGCATGTGTGTTTGTGTGCCCGTATGTGTGCATGATCTGTGTGTGTGTGTATGTGTGTGTGTGTGTTTGTGTGTGTGTGTGTGTGTGTGTGTGTGTGTGTGTGTGTGCCATCGCAGGGACCATTGATTTCATAAAATTAATGTGTGCTGAGGGACAATTCACTATTGTAAAACTAAGCACACATCTATGCTGCGGGACCACTTCAGTCAGTGTTTTCAAGTATCTAACAATTGCTATCTTTAATACCTTATTTGCACATTGGCAATTCTTGCCTTGTTTTGTAACACAGCATTCGATGGGACACATCAACAGGTACAGCCAGGGCTGCAAGCTGCAGGGACAAATGTCGGTCCAGTACAGCCTGATCCCAACATTAGCTTAACTCAGCCTATTGCAAACCAACCGCAGCCTGTTGGTCAGCAGCACAGCCTTATTGGACAACCTATCAACACTGGTGGCTTCAGAGGAGCTAGCAGTAGTATTGTGGGGCTTAGACCATCATTAGTGGAGTCAACACTGGGTCTCCCACCACAGCCTCAACCAACCATTGGTGTTATGTCATCACCAGCACAATTTGCGACTCCCTACAGCCAGCAAATGAGTCACCACTTCCATGCCACTGCTAGCAGCTATCTGCCGAGTTGTGTCCCAGCAATGCACGGCAGTATGGCCAGCTCTAACCATCCTGCGGAAATGCACGCCGGCTTTCCACAGACCCCACTGAACCATCTAGCACAAGGCGTCGAGTATCAACTGGACAACCCCTCTGCCCCTCCACTGTTTGGCGGACATCCCAGAAACCTGTGCGAATGGCGTGTAAACAACGGTCTACAATTGTGTGGGTTGGCTTTCTATAGTGTCACCGAACTAGCGCAGCACATAAGCAACGTTCATCTCCAGCAACAGGACACTACCGAAAAGGAGGATGGCAACGTCCACATCTGCCACTGGGACCAGTGTTCACGCAAGAAAGGATTTAAAGCCAAGTACAAGCTTGTCAACCATATACGAGTTCATACAGGGGAAAAACCCTTTGTCTGCAATCATCAAGACTGCACACGCAAAGCATTCGCAAGAGCCGAAAACCTGGAGATACACTACAGAGTCCACATAAAGGAAACGCCGTTTGCCTGCACCTTCCCGGACTGTAAGAGAAGATTCGCAAATTCCTCGGATCGAAAGAAGCACATGGTCGTGCACACGAATGATAAACCCTACCAATGCAGGGCAGCAGGATGTACGAAGAGATTTACACACCCGAGCTCGCTTAGAAAGCACACTAAGCAGCATGATGCTCGAAATGCAGCCAATGGCGGTAATGCTCTTTCCTACAGTACCACGGACACCAGCGCAGAGAACAGTGGCTTGCCGTCTGCGGATGGTTCTATTGCTGTGGACGGAGAAAGTGATCATGGCAGTTCGATTTCATCCGATGAGGTACTTGCAGACCAGCACCACCACCATCAACAACAGGAAGAACAGCAGCAGCAGCACCAACATCAACAACAAGGTTTTGCACTTGTGACTTGCATGGACCAGTGTCAGCCTGCACAGCCGCAACACTTACCACTGGGAACGTCCTCAAGCATGCTGACTGTGAATTCAACATCCACGTCATCTTTGCCTCAGTTACCTTATCATTTGCACTCTGCCCAGGCAACTGCTGGTAGTCATCTGGTCAACAGTGCACAACCAACACCACCTGGACAGCCGTCTGATAGCTATGCGGTGTTCAGTGAAGTATGCCATGACAATGCCGGAAAGGGTGACCTAGTAGTGGCAAGCCTAGGCAGTAGAGCAACAATAAATGATCCCTTGCCTACATGTTCCATACAGACATTCCCACAGCCGCCGCCACCACAGCCAGAAGCAACAGCAGCAACAGAAGCAGCAGCTGTGCCAGCAGCTGTGCCAGAACTAACTCAAAACAGACAGCTTGTTCAGCAGCAACATACTCACTTCCAATACCCGGCAGCACGTCAGCAGTTGCAGCAACAACCTCATCATCAACATCCAGAACAGCAGCTCCAGAAGCAGCATCAGCAGCACCAGGCATCACATGACCAATGTCAGCAGTCGCAAATCTATCTAACTCACCACCATCAGCTGCCGACGCCCACACACACACAGCTATCGCTGTTGCCGGCACTGGTGGCTCACACACCGCAGCACCAGTCATCACCTGTGTCTCAGACGCACAACCATCAGGCACAGAAGCACTCTCTCCCATCGCCGATGCAGCTGCACCAGCAGCATTTTGCACAGCATTCGGCAACTGCTCAGCCAACACTATTTCATCCAGTCCTCTTTATTCTCGTGAGCTGTGTACTTGTTTTGCTGTTTGTTTGGTTTATTTGAATTCGCTCAGTAACCGTGTACTTCAGCTATTCTCTCCTCCCTCTTCTGAATTTGACTCTCCGCTGGCCTTCTCTCCCATCCCCTTACATTGTATTGGGCCTCCGCAGCTCCCCCCCCCCCCCTCCACGCACACACTACATTGTCACATAGCACAACTCAACCATTCGCTACCCTGTTATTGAGCACTCCTGCTCGTTTGGTCTCGCGAATCCAAATAAAATCAATCAATCAATCATGCAGGACAATAGCTGCACCCCGTACTGCCCTCGCATGACGCTCACTCTCTGTCAGCACGAAGACACCTCCCAAAAAGGCAATACTAAGCAAACAAACATTACACCGCTTGAAAGCACTATTCTCATGAGCTGGACAACTGCCTTTTCAAAATGGCACTGCAGCCAGCTTCGTGAATGGACGTGTTAAACACTGTCAATAAGGTTTTTAAGGCACATCATCACTTTCAACGTAATTATTATCAAAACTCCTAAGTTTTACGGAGTTAACAATTTTTTTATTATAATTACCTAATTCAAAAAAGAGGTATGAAGTGTACAGATGCAAGTTCAATACTCGCTTTTGTGATATTGAATTATCGTATCAACGCTGTCCAACGCTGAATGTTTTCAAGGTTATTTCATTATAGATGGAGCCGGGGTGTTGCTCATTAGGCTGTGGGACTAGTCAATCAGACGACTGCCACATTTGTAGAAGTTCCTTTTTCAAATGTCTCGTCAATTTCATTTTCCGCATATTGTCTTCACTAACATCACCCATGGTGCTGGCCACATGTATGTAGCATCAGTAGAATTGCAGCTCAACATCCTAATCCGCACTGCCTTCAGTCTGGTTTCTACCCACTCACTGTCAGGATCGGGTATTTCCCCTCCAATTAGTAACCATAGTACCCGTTTCTTTTTAGTTCACTTTTTCGGCTGATCTGCTCATCCCGCAGAAATGTGTCAATACTAATGCTGGCCTATCATATTCTACAGCTGCTGAAGAAAGTCTTGTCTCAGGCGCTGAGTCTTCAAACACTCATGATTATCGTATCTGTTTTCAAAATAATGGGATGGAGTTTTCCTCTTATTCATATGGGATTTTGTGAGCCAGTACTCGAAGTACAGATGTGCAAGCACATCATAGAAAACAATACTCGATAGCGAAGTATTCGTGAGCAAAAATCATAAGAAAGTAACTTGAGACGCTTCTTTTAAAGTTATTTGTGGCTAGACTGAGAAAGCACACATGGCCAGCAATCGAGGACATCTGAGAGTTGTAATTTTTGTACTCCTCCGAGGTGTGATTTTTGGCGTGCTGGGCCAAGCACAAGGAAGCCATCTGCAAAAAAACTGCAGAAAATGGTTGTTGTTTGATCCTTTGGTGTAATCTTTGTTTCTAGTCGAAGCTAGTTGCTGTTTGGAGCAGAAACGCTGAAATTGACTATTTTCTGCATGTACTCATACATGTACTCATGTACTCAGGCATGCAGTCTCACTCGTATTTTAGCTCTTTTTCTGGAATGGATGCTGCTCTGCGCCCCTTGGTGAACATTTCCTGCGCTCGTGGAGCAGCTGAAAAGGACCACTGGTATGTCTGGTTCCTGGTTTGAAAGTGGAGAGTCGACTTTTCTGCCTTGAAAAAGGAGTAGAGAGCGATAAAGGTACGTCTGTGGCTGATTTTTGAGTGCTCCTCGTACATTTTTGATCGTGATAGAAATTCTCAGACCAAAGTCAGACCAAAGTCAGCGCGATGATGGTCGTACAGTTTTCTTGTGGATTTTTTAGTTGTTTCATCTCGTAGCTATGTCAGTATCGTGATGGTGAAGTGGAGAGGGTGATTTTCTTCCTCTAGGCTTCGTTCGGCCGACTTTGCTTCGTCCTCGTTGAAAAGTGATCCTGAAAAAAAGGTCGATTCGCAAAATTATGTTGATTTTCAATGTACGAGATGACATGCGATTGCTGGCTATGAAGACAGAGTTAGTGGTACTATGCCTTGCATGTTCCAGTACATCATGTATGCATGTTCTAGAGTAGCGAAAAGTTCATGTGAACCACTATCTAAGGAAAGTGCTAGAAATAGAGGCATAACTGGCACAGCACACAGGAGTAGCATTTGTCGACATGTCTAAAGCTTTCGACAAGGTAAAGCATAGCATTCTGGTTGAGGACCTCTTTGAACTGGGTCTCACTAGCACTGCTTTTTGCAATGGTTTTCAGACTACTTGATGTATCGCCGGCAATACGTGGAGACAGGAAAAACCAGAAGTACAACTTATGACAGCCAGTCAGGGGTTCCTCAGGGGTCAGTTCTCGGACCTTTGCTCTTCGTTCTGTATGTGAGGGATATTGCCGGCGACCTTGCCCCTCATGACGTCACCACTATTCAGTTTGCTGATGACATCTCGCTGCGTGCGAGCAGTCCACAGCCAGAAGTTGTCTCCCAGCGCCTCACTGCAGCAGTTCAGTACCTGGCCACTTGGTTGAAGAAACGTGGACTGATCCTTAACGAGACCAAGACGCAGATACTCGCCATACCACACCATAGAGCTGCAGCCCTCGACATCAATGTTGTATGCAATTCACAAGTCCTACCAGTAGTCACATCTGCCAAATACCTTGGCCTGCATTTTGACTCGGACATGAGTTGGACCACAATGGTGGACCATGTTGCTCGTCGTGTTGCCGGCAAAATTGCTGTCCTGCTGCGACATGCTTCCTCGCTGCCGTATCCATGCCGACTCACCTACTTCAGATCTATCGTTTTGCCTGAATTTTTGTATGCTTCTATTAGTTACTACCCGTATTTGACAGTTGCCCAGGAACAACGGCTACATAGGCTGTTCAAACGTGCCGCTCGGGCAGTCTGCAAGTCGCCACCGTGGACCAGTACTGCTCCCCTGCTAAATCGAATGCATGTATGTGATCTACAGGTTTCTGTGCACTTGAATATGTTGTGTTTCATCTTGCGATGTTTGCATGATGCATGTAGCACCCTGTTTGAGTCCTTTTTTGCTGTCGTGCCCTCAACTCGCACTTGGGGAGGCCAAAGCAACTTGCTTGTGGTCCCACCTGCTAGCACTGCTCGTTCTGCTAAGCGCCTAACGCACGCTGGAGCCATTATGTGGAATAGATTGCCACCAGCAGCAAAATGTTCAAATAGGTATTTGGATTTTAAATCTCAAGCCTTGCAGTATATATTATCAGCGACAAAGGTTTTCCAATGCTTACTGGATTGATATCTGTTCGTTGCAACCAACCTTCCGTCATTTTTTTCCTTTCTCTTTTTCTCTTGTATCTACTTTTTTTTTTTTTTTTTTTTTTTCTCCACAATATCCTTTAACATGTTATTCACAGTGGGTCCAATGTTATTAGGCATTTTGCCTGTTTTGATTTCCACTATAAATAAAGTATACAACAACAACAACATCTGGTGGATTTTGAGTGGTAGCGCAATTTGATAATGAACGAGCGGGCGAAACCACATCTCTCTGACTCACAGCTGTTAGCCAGCGTTTTCAAGATGACCTTCCTGTTCACCGTTGACACACTCACTAATTCGGTGGCATTTTCTGACAGTCTCCACTTCAGAACTTTCATACATTTGTCATTTAAAATGCTAAAATCAGTAAAAACTGTATAGACTATAGGCAAGTGTTGCGTAGGATTGGTGTACATACATGTACATGTATAGTGTGACTACACTACTAGAACTACAGTCCATTCATAAAAAGATGGGCTCTGGCTCTGGTGAGCTCCCGTATTTGGCGGTTTTTCGTGATTTCATCGTACACAGTGCAGTGCTGCGAACTTTGAAATTTGAAAAAGGGTCCAAAAAGGGTGCCTGAACTGGGGTTCGAACCGCAGAATGCACTGTTGCCAGGCGGGGTCAAACGGCCTAGATTTTGATGGTTTTCCCAATTCTGTGCTTTTGGGGCAAAACCTGGCCGAAATCCTATTCTTGCTATGGCTTGCTTTTTGGACAAAAAAACTTCAGAAACATAATTGGAAGAGGATTCCATAGGGGATTGCCAAAAAAAATTCTAAAAAAACTCAAAGTTTGACCCATTTATGGCCAAAAGCTAGAAGTTCATATTTTTCTGAATGGACTGTAGTAGTAGCTACGGCTCTTGTAAGTAATATTATTGTAGAGCATGTGAATGATCACATGCGCACTCGCAGGTTAGCAGGCAAATCATCGCATGCGTGGCGTCGAACGGCTCCCCACACACACAGCTCGCTGGTGTGTCCAAGAGAGACCAACCATAGCAGAGAGCTGGAGCGTCGCGGAAGTCTCCCTTGGACAGATGGTGACCATGGTCTGCCAGAGGCAACACCCCGAGCCAACTCGACACGCCTTTCGTGGATAAACTCTCCAGCCGACGAGCCAAGGCAGGGGACGCACTGCTCTTGATCGTGACGAAATCATTCTGCTCCCTCTGACGACGGTCATGCGCTAGCCGTGTCTTCTCGCTATAGGGCTGCCTGGCGAACATCCTCCGTGGAGTTATGGGTGAATTGAACATCATTCTGGTGTACAATCTCCTCCACCTGATGGGCCGTTACAGCTCTCGACGCAGGGAGCTCCGCCGTACCCATTTGCTGAAAACACGGCAGGGCCATCCCCTCCCCAGTCGACAGGGCAGGCGGAGAAGGCTCAATTCTTCTGGTAGGAAGGAATCACGGCCCGCTAGAGCAGGTAGAAGCTCCTCCGTGATCACCTTGTCCAGGTCGGTAAGGCATTGTGCAGGAAAAGGCACTGTACGCAATAGGTAGGTCCACCTACCACGTAAACCATGAGATATTGCAGCATAGGCAGCATGTGGCTCCGTTTTTGCAATCTCAGTAAGCTGCTTCAGCTCTACCTTCCACTTCGCCACCCGTTGCTGCACATTTTCCGCGACCATCTCTTCCGATCCAATCTCGGAGCCGAGATAACGCAGGCTCCCCGTGACAATGCGGATCCCTGTCTCGGCAAACACTTAGCGTGCTCCCTGATCCAGCTCTGGCTTGACAAGGAGCTGGGTCTTTTCGGACTTCGTGAAGTATCCGTATCGCCGTCCAATTGCCTGCAGCTCGTCCCACCACAACCGAATCTGTCTCAGCCTACCTGATCCGCTGGAATCATCCGCATACCAGCTCTGCCGGATTGATGTGTGCTGCTCCTGGAGACGAGTGATGATCGGTATGGTGGCAACTGCGTAAAAGGCCATGGAGAGGGGGTCGCCCTGCGTGGTTCCCTCACTCGACTTGACTTCCCCTCCACCTGCAACAAATAAACTCGCAGCCGTTTCGATAGGAGTTCATGATGACGCTGGAGAGGGCAGGACATAGCCGCTGGACATTGTGTAGCGCCGCTTCTCTGTTCAAGCTGTTAAATGCATTGCGAGCATTCACCAACAGCACTCCAGCTGTCTCCTCTTCATTGTAAATCTGCTGCACCGCATGCACCGCCGCCTCTATCCCAGCTGGTTGGCCCGCACACTTGTTGTTGTTGATTTATATTTTACTTCGCAAGGCCAAACGGGCAATGGTGCCCAATTCTATGGAAGCGAATTTCAAAAGGGAGAGAGCTACGGGAGGAGAGAGAGAGAGAGAGAGAGAGAGAGAGAGAGAGAGAGAGGGGGGGAGGGAGGGAGGGAGATGATAAGCAATTTTGCAGCGTCAACAGAGCGATTTTGCAGTGTCAATAGAGCGATTTTGAAGCGTCAACAGAGGGAACACAAAGAGTTCATAAGCGCACAAGCACGCAGAGAAGAGTAAATGACGTGGTGTGTGGACGGGAAAAGTCAGACAGAGCATTCATTGCAAGGTGTAGGGGATGGAGGCAAGCTTAAATTGCTGGGCAGCCTTGATCTCCCTTACACTCCTTGGGAGAGCATTCCAGGCCAAGGCTGCCTGAAAGGCCAGGCGAGATATGCCGGCTTCTGACTGTGCCGAGGGGACAGTGAGGCCCCTGGAAACCTGGTGCCGGGTGGTGCTGCCAGCTGATGGTGAGAATAGGTCCTGGAGGACACTGCTGGCTTT